AATGCCAAAAATATTTGGATAGAAATGTCCGATTTCTACTTCTAATATTATTGAAGGGGCTTTTATGCTGCCTCCACCTAATTTTAAATTCATTCTTCGTTGACCCAATGACCTAGTGACCTATCCGTGTTAGGACTCTCAGTGGATGAGATAGTGCATTGGTATACTACGGATTTTATGAGGCATTTATTTTCCAACGGGCAGTCTTCAGATATGCCATCTATAATTAAGCATATACCCACATCAATAGAGAAAAGAATCAGCATGAACTCCGCTAATAAGGAAATATTCCGACAACATAGTAATTATTATAACACAGCCCTAAAAAATAGCGGATACAAAAACGCTAACATAAGTTATAGAAACAATAGCACTAACAAAACCCTTTATTCTACATTCAACACCATCACTTGAAAAGGCACCAGAAGTGTTGAAACAAAATGGCTATTTTGTAGTGATTTTATAACATATTTATGCTATAATTTTCGAATAAATAATTATATATATATATATATATGTGTGTGTGTGTGTGTGTGTGTGTCTGTATGTGTGTGTGTGTGTGTGTGTGTAACGAATGCACAGCCGCAATTTTCGACAGATTTGCACCAAAATTTACATGCACATGCTCCAAGTTAGCAGGAAGGCCAAAACCGACTTTGCATTTCCCAACTCCCATCGATAGTGGAAATAATCGATTTTTTCATGCTTCTATGGCAGTTTTCATGTAGTTTGCGGCCATTTTCTACTGGCCAGAGTGAGAGCCTATATCTGGCTGCCACGAATAGGCAGGAAGATTCTATTGGCCAGCGTGAGAGCCAACAGCTGACTGACACGAATGTTAACTAGCATGCAAAAACATCAATACGTGCATTCGTCACAATTGGGAAAAATTTAAATCTGCATGGCACTTTACTCCAATTGGCTCATTCGCTTGCTTAAACTCAACGTTGATTCTAATTCCGCAGAACTGGGTTGGGTGTGAAAAAGTATTTGTTGTTAACATTCTTTTTTTCATTCGGTTTTCCAGTTACGAGTCCTTTTTTAAAGCTAATCGTTTTGTGTTCATTTTGTTTAGTTTTTTTTTTTCGTAACAGATTTAATGTTTCGTATAGAGCTTAGAAAACATTTGCAGTGTCAGATAGGCAAGAAGTAAGGCATGTAGCAACATCAGCACGGCAAAGAGCACTCCTTTAAAGGCAAGGAAGGGCCAAAATATTTTAAGTCAAGTGATAGTGATTGCTGTATGAGTCGTACGATTTTTGAATCAAGCACGGGCAACACCGGGCCATGCTGCTAGTATATATATATATATATATATATATATATATGCTTGTCGGGCGGCGAATTTGTTTGAAATTTGTTTTATCGTTTCAGAAGGACATTGCAGTGTATCGTATGATATCAGCTCATGGCAACTAAGAAACATTTTCATCAGGAGGAGCCTGTGTTGTATTTCGTTTCCATTGTGCTGTTAAGCCAAATAGGTTTTCTAACACCTGTTAGAAACACGCGTTTCTCTTGATATCCTGATACAGACATTAAATAATAAAACAGACTCGAGTATGAAACAACACAGATGTGCGTTGCATAAAAGCCATTAGCTGATGTCAACCTCAGAAAAGATTCTAGTTGTTTAAACTCGTAAAGCAGCACTCTGTTTACAAGTGTTGTTTATTTTAATAAAAAAACAAATGAAACAGTTAAGACTTTGGTACCTAATACAAAAATCCGTCTCAATAATCAGTTCGGAATTGTTCTCAGTATCTAATAAACAGGGGGTGGGGGCTTAATAAAAGCTGGTAAATCATCTAAAGAGTCAAAAGTAAAGAATTTAAAACTACAAAATCTCCTATAGAAGGAAAGCGAGAAGAAAGGACAAAGCATCAACTACAAGAACATAGAAAGTATGGATTTTAGCAAAAGGATGAGTCCAACATGCAATTGGTGATAACAAAATCAAACAAGTACAACAATTTAAATATCTAGGAAGTGTTTTAACAGAGGATGGAAAGTGGGACAGTGAAAAGGCAAAAAATAAATCTGGTTTTGTTTTTTGACTACACACATAATAATAGTACACCCGACATAGAAATATTACACCTGAATTAATATTTGCGGGTGCACTATTTCTAAGTGTGGGGTCTCTGTTCGCGCTCACCTGATAGTCAAGCAAAAATAGATTTAATTTCTTTCTTTTTTTTAAAAAAAAAAAAAAAAAAAAAAATCCTCATAAGTATCTCGAATATCATCCGTACTTATGAAATGTGAATTTTATGGTAATTTTTACTTCTTTTTAATTTTGATTTTTGGTAATTTTTTTAATTCTGAGGGGTGGAGTTGATGGGAGTCAAGCTAAAAATTTTGATTTAAAATTTATCATTTCAAAAGAGTGCCAAAATTCAAAAAACATTTTGACTTAAAAATTTATCATTTCAAAATGTTATGATGTTGATTTGGGGTTAGTAAAGACAAACGCCAAATAACACGTAACAATAAAAAAGGGTTTATTCAGTTGGTAAGAAGGTACAGAAATCGCCTGAGTAGTCTATAACTAACTCAGCTAAGAACTTCTCCGACTCTCTGTCTTCTGACATACCACTATTTAAAGTCTTTGTTTGTAGACAAGTTCATCTTCAAGAGGGTGGTAGGTTTCGACACAACACAAAAAGAGTGCCAAATATTAAAAAAAAAGCCAGCTTTGATTTAAAATTCATCATTTCAAAAGAGTGCCAAAATTGAATAAAAAACATTTTGATTTAAAAATTTATCATTTCAAAAGAGTGCCAAATATTAAAAAACAAGCCAGCTTTGATTTAAAATTCATCATTTCAAAAGAGTGCGAAAATTTAATAAAAAAACATTTTGATTTAAAAATTTATAATTTCAAAAGAGTGCAAAAATTTAATAAGACAAGCTTTGATTTAAAATGTATGATTTCTGAATTAATATTTGCGATAAGTATCTTTACATTATTTAAGGTGAATTAACAGAAAAGATTAAAAAAAAAAAAAAAAAAAAAAAAAACGCCCCTCAACTTTCAGTTAGGCACTAAAGAGTAACCAATCAAAAGATAGGATGGGATCACGTGACACAAACTAAATCGGGCAGAACGCAAAATCAGTTTTCATCGGTCCGATCGCTTTGGAGATATTTTTCCTTCGAAGCAAGACAGATGGCGCCAATTCACTTTTCAACTGAGCTAAATTACAACACCTTCTCTTATTGGACATTCTCTAAGGCAATCTCGCCTCAAGGGTAATTATTTACTTTTCCTAGAACGTTTATCTTTTAAAGTGAAGTCTATTGCCTTGTTGCTTTAATAAATGTTAGCAGATTCATTTCACATTGGTGGAAACCGACTGCGTTTCCAGCATCGAGAAATCCAGAAGTGGAATTAATAAATACTTAAGAAGACGGAATGCAAAGTTGTTAGCAAAAGGGACAGCCCAACATGCAAATTACAAATTGGAGATGCCAAAATCAAACAAATACAACAATTTAAATATCTGGGAAGTATTTTAACAGAGAAGGCAAAATGTGACACTGAAATCCGAAGGTGCATTGGGAGAGTGAAAGATGGTTTCGAAAAGCTATGCACTTTGTGTTGTTTGGTTGGTTGATTTCCTTTAGCGGTATATCAACCTTTATGGTTTATTTAATGCTGAAATCTAAATATTGTGAACATAATTTTAAACTTTAAGGGCAAAAGGTATTTTTTAAAAATATATAGATTTCAGATTATAAAAAGTATTGCTGAGAATTTCATTACAAAATATATTGTTGGCCATTTTGTAATAAAAAATGTATTGTTAGTCATTTTGTAATAAAAGTGTATTGTTGGTCATCTTGCTATAAAAATGTATTGTCGGTCATTTTGTTATAAAAATGTACTGTTAGTCATTTTGTAATAAAAATGTATTGTTGGTCATTTTTTAATAAAACTGTATTCTTGGTCATTTTGTAATGAAAATGTATTATAAGTCATTTTGCTATAAAAATGTATTGTTAGTCATTTTGATATAAAATATGTTGCTAGTCATTTTGCTATAAAAATATGTTGTTAGTCATTTTGCTATAAAAATGTATTGTTGGTCATTTTGTAATAAAAATGTATTGTTGATCATTTTGCTATAAAAATGTATTATTGATTTGTATTTTGAGGGTTCACTATTTTCCCATAGCTGGGACCCTAACAGGTGCTGCCACCCAGGGTGAGGGTGGACCTGTGAGCAACAGCAATTAAGAGGTGCTTTCACAAAAGCTAAGCGGAGAATTTAGAAGCAAAAAAAATCTCGTTAGAAAAAAGAAAAGACTATTATCTATTATGTAATATCAATCCTCTTATATCGTAGCGAAATCAGGATAATCAGTAAAGAAGAGATTTGAAACAAGCAAAATGTGTCTTTATAGAAGGAGGATGAGGATTCCATGGAACGAATGTCTGAGCAATGACGAAGTTTTTTTTCCATCGACAGTAACGGAAACTGCTCAGTGAATAAATATCGAATGCAAGCAGCGATTAAATAATTTCGCTACAATTGGGCATAGTTCTGGGTTGATATTGTTATGGAGAAACATTGGGATATTATCTGGGCCACTGCATTTCTTATGATAAAGAATCTTGAATCATGAATCTACAGCTCGGGATGACTTACAATAAAAATACTACTGAAGTTGTGCTCAGTATAACGGGGTGGGGAGCTAGCAAGGAGATGGTCTATGTCTTCTAATGTTGACTTCGAGGCAAAGATTGAGAAAAAAGAGCTTCGCTTTATCTGACGAGGCATATATATATATATATATATATATATATATATATATATATATATATATATATAGAGAGAGAGAGAGAGAGAGAGTGAGAGAGAGAGAGAGATAAACAGATTCAGATATGAACAAACTCAGAGGGTAGATAGATAGATAGATATGAATAGACTCAGATAGATATGAACAGATTCAGATAGATAGATAGATGCGAACAGACTCAGAGATGAATAGACTCAGTCAGATAGATAGATAGATAGATAGATAGATATGAACAGACTCAGATAGATAGATAGATAGATAGATAGATAGATAGATAGATAGATAGATAGATAGATATGAACAGAGTCAGATAGATAATGAACAGACTCAGATAGATAGATAGATAGATAGATAGATAGATAGATAGATAGATAGATATGAACAGAATTAGATAGATAGATAGATAGATAGATAGATATGAGCGAGATAAATTCTACATGTGAAGACCAGG